AGAGCTCATGAATCAGGTCGAATAAGCTGACTCAGGGCCCATAAACCGTATTTTCCCATCCGGGATCGGCCTCAAATTCATTTAGGACTTTCTTGTAAGTCTCTGAAGGATTCCACTGGTCCACCCACTAAGCGAGCTGAGGGCGGGACGACCACTTTAGATTGGCTTCTTACTACCTGGGTTTGAGCTGAAGACCTTCATCAGTACTTTCAAAGCTAACTACATATGTCTTCAACGATCCTGAATGGGTAATTGCAACATTTATCTTTAATAGTTAGGAGACCGAATAGGTGTTGGCTCGTTGTACTGAGGAAGGGAATGAATCGTGCAATTTTGAAACCAGGATTTCTTGGATTCCTCCACATTTTGCTCGCATAACTGCCTGGCTGTGATTTTCCAACATCCACATGCGTTTTTGTTTTTTTAGGAGCAGTTCCGCTTAGTTGCTCTAACTTCGTTCATCATTGTTGCAGTCTGATGTCAATTTGTTTTCGGCTAGCCTTCGAAAGCACATCGTTAGGCGAAAATCGCTACAAACCCATTTGGCTGCCCTCAGGAACAATCGTGAAGAAGAACGAGCAACGAGCTGCTCGTTATTAGTATTCTGTGTTTGTTTCTGATTGTTTTGCATACATCCAAGCCTTCCTCAATGTGTTCCCCATTCCCTCACCCACACTCTAACGCTGTAAGCTTCGCTGGACGGTCTTTGTTATGGCGGTTTCTCTGAACTCTGCGATTCTGTGAAAGTGCTCGCCATATATTTAATGAGTTCATTGACCGCCGCCGAGAATATTTTAATTCTTGGTGTTTTTGTTGGTATCCCCAGTATTGTGCAGTGTTGAAGGGTTTAAGGTGAAGGTCCTCGTTTAGTAAAAGGGCCAAAGTTGAGGCATTTTGATGTAGGAAAATCGAGGATATAAGTATAACAGAAGGGTAGGGTGTTATGGAATTAACTGGAGAACAAAACTGCAGCTGTGTTGGAAAGGTCAGTGCACCTAGCAACACATGACATTCTTCCAAACTCTTCGTTTAGTGAAAGTGTAACTCATTGGCTACAGCGAACTTCTAGATTTTCACTTTGCTCCTTAATTTTCTTCTTCCTCTTCTTCCTTTTTTTCTTTTCGTTTACATAGCTTAGCTCCTTTTCAATGTGCAGCATATCCGCTACTAGTTATTAATTGGTTTTATTAGTTGTTTGACGATTTAGGCCGAGGTGATGTAGTAGCAAGTGGCGCACTATCACACAGGCATGGTCACGGGTTCGAACCCCAGATCGATATTCTCCCGGGCCAACTGAGCCTTCCATCCCTCCGGGGTCGGTTGATTGGTGTCAGACTCGTCTGAGAGGATAAAAGCAATACTTGTACATCGCCTGGCCACCGCCAGCATTGTATGGACCATATACGCGAACGGCACTATGATCCTGAATGCAAGTCGACGTTGATCCTTTAGACGAGATTGATTGAGGCCCAAGAACTTCTCCTTCTTTTATCGCTTATTTATTTATTAATTTATGACATTGTATAGAGCACGCGTAAGATACAGAACAATATCGACATTTTCAATAATGTAGGCAATATGGATCTCAACATTTCGTTTCTTTATTGAGAATTTGGCAATCACTGAGAAGAAAGCCTTGGATTCAGCCAGTATCTAGAGGATATCGAATTGTACAGCTGTGTAAGGAGCAATGGTTTTTCGGAAGTACGACTGCACGATAACTACTCCAGGTGTATTCGAATTGAAATTCCGTCGGCTGGGCGACATCTGGTCACTATAGTTTCATGCCCCAGTTATGAAGACTTCTTGCATATTCAGTCTCCTTCGTAGCCGTCAGATTGTGTAACCATTGGCGCCATTCGTAGTGTGTCTTCAGATTTTCCTGCACGACATATCCATTAGAGAGATTGATTTGTGACTTTCTCGTTGGACAATTTTCTCGTTTGTCTCAACTAAATAGCTCATAATTGAATTGGATACTTATTTCCCCTATATGGCGATAGCTCGAGACATGCGGATACCAAAAACTGATTGTGGTTCTACTCCTTACCAACTACAAATCACGATCGATCAGGGAATAGTCAGGCAATACGGTAGCTTATCGTCACGGACGGGCCGTACTTTCTGGGCTTATGAAAGCAGGTGTATGAGACGTCACACCATTTCCGAGTACACTTTTGAACTTGTTTTTCAACTCGATACGGCATGTTCATTACCTCGAATGCCATCGAACGAGGTTCAAAGCAATCATTTCATCAGAGCACATCGTCCTAAGATTTATGGTCGAGAACCTCTTGAAGGGGCATTAGGTTTTTACTTCGCAGGCTGAATTTCTTAATTTCAAAGTAAGCTAAGAAATGCCATTGAAAATGGCATGTACCGTACCCTATATCATGATTTTTAACGACGTCTTAATCGTTGGCAGATGACACTTGACGAGAACGAAGTGGCCATCCAATTTTGCCCTCTTACATATATCCCTGGTCCATCCTATCAGTCCGTTTTTTGCTGCAGGCACTCGTGCTGAAGTTTAATACTGCTTGCGATTTGAAGGTTCTTAAGTGTCATCGATAATCCTCTTGGTTTGAGATTCGAATTTGAAAACTTATTTCCTACCCGAGGACAGGCTGAACAAATGAGAACGTTTCTCCCCCCATCTCCCCTTGTTTATGAGTCATTGTTTCGTGAAGTAGTTTAAACTGTCAGCACATGTCTCTGTGGGAGGTAAGTGCCAGTTGATTTGAGACATCTCGTTCCCTGCAAGAGGAACCCCGTCATTCTATCCGTGCACCTCCTATGCCCTAGTGTCAAGTTGCTAGCCCCGTTTTAGCCCTGATGAACCCTTTTTTGTGGTAGACAAGAAAGAAAGGCCATTATGGAAATCAAATAGATCTTATTTCCATTATGGTCTTTTTCTGATCTTCCCCAAAAGGAAATAGAAGCTTCTATTAAAGGCAAACGTGATGCTCTGACTCGGATGTCACATCATATCAAGCGGCGAGGGTAGGCGTGGCGCAGATGAGACGTCTTGGCTCCCGCCGGGAGGGCATCAGCTGTTTTCAGCGTCTTCTTTGCTTTCTTATTTTGCTTCTCATCATAATTATTGGGTCCACATACATCAAGAAATGCACCAAAAACGTTGATCAACATGGTAGCAGTATGTCACCCGTGCCTAATCTTGTTGTTTGATACACGTAGTAATAAATATGTAGTAAATAATAGTAATGCAGCAGATTACTCTTAAGGCATAGATCCGATTTCCGAAAGAGTAATTCCGATCCGTATGCCAGCTGAGCAAGCGTGAACGAAATCGAATACGTTTTGCTAGCTGGTTAATTTAGCAGAGCTCTTTGGCATTACTGTATTTTCAAGAACGATTAATCATTTCATTGCTTACAAATACCCGTATTTGCGAACAGAAACCAATGTTCAGTATGGGAACCCGGTTGTTAGAATGGGTTGGCTGTGAGCCCTGACTGGAAGTAATAGTTGCAGTGCAACCCAGGTCTCTGGGTATATGCGATGCGCAGGACCGAAAGCGTTTCGACTTTTTTGCTAGCCTCATGATAAAAGTCGGATGGGATAGCATGTTCTTCCTACATATTTTACAATGTGGATAGAAGTAGCTCTAAATTTTTACTCCAAAAGGAATTTGCAACAGTAATTGCGGAGAGGAGGATCAAGGAACCCGGAGGTTCACCAAGCTTTTAAGGTTAACTTTGGTACTCTTTGAAAAATTTTCTAGATTGTCACTCCGTTACTTCCGAAGATTTGAAATGGCCTCCGAATTACTGACGCCCATCGTTTTGTCATTTAATTCGGAAAACGGGCTCAGATACAGTTATATAACTTGCGGCTTCTGATAAAACTGTTGATTCCAATTTCGGGTTCCATAGTGTTTGTTCCATGAGCATGTTCGATTTTTCGGGGGCTCAAGCATTTTAGCTAATTATCAGGGTGTGTGCACCCAACCCTAGCACTGATCTGTTCTTTGGATTCGAAACTCTTCGAGAGCGCGAAGTTCTTTCTGCTACTTTCCAACATTGTTCTGTGCTGAGCAGTTTTGTGCGCCCTCCTAGAAAATGTTCACTAGGACATGTGTTTACTTTAAACAACGTAAGTTTACTTTGTACTTGGGAGCCCTATTCAGAAAAACTCCATTCTCTAGAAGACATGTATTACGAAGTGCATTTTTCGGTCAGGTACTGATTCCGTAAGTATAGAAAACCAGTGAGCATTGTGAATACAGTAGTGCCACCGTGTATCACAGCTCCAGATTTTCTTCAACCGTTTTCTCGTCATGTAAGCTTCTTTTCATTTCTATTACGTCAATCTGAAAGCTAACAATATTTGCTTTCTGTGGACTGAGCAAAAGAAAATGACGTTATATGAAAGCTTTGGACAACGGCATCAGATGTCTGTTTGTTATTCTTGAAAAAGTCCTTCACATTGTTTCACATCTGCTGGTATTGTAGTCTGATTCGTTGCAGGACCAACAAAATTTGTTACGGATGTCTTGAATTATGACATCAATTCTGCAGAGACTATAATTTCCTAATTGACATAATATTACATCAGAAAATAAAGTTTTTTGCTTCATAACTTATATATTATGCATTTAGTTTTAGAATTCTTATTTTTATATCTTTATGACTGTAGTAATTTATGATATTGCTGAATACAGCCTGAAAGACCATTTGGACAAACAGGTGAATCGAAATTGTTTTGCCGGCACTCTATTAAAGAGTTAATTTTTGATCCTCATCTTTTCTGATTAGATTAGGAGCATAGTTGTTGGTGTAGCGTATTGAACTTTGCTCATAGTTTTTTTTTTCTATAATTTCATTTTTTTTTTGTTGTGAAATCAATCTATGAATGTTGATGAATCCTATGAATCTGCTCAATATTGATTCACTCAAGTTTTAGGATGTTGAAACGAAAATTGCAAGATTTAACGGTCTGCTGCTCCTATCAAGTGGAATTTCTTCATCAGAAAGGTTCGTTTCAGTTTGTATGTCCGTACTTTCAACAAGATTCTTTAGTATCATTAATACAGTAGTTTCCCATATGGTCATGAATGGGGGAAAGGTCAGACTCAGGGTATGATGATCGAGTTCATAAAACTCGATCATCTTAGTCACTCGGAGGGATCTACTTTCGGTAACGGACAGCTATGCATGTAACGGATAGGTCCTCTAATGGTGGTCTGATGCTGAAAGAAACATTAGTAGCTGTAGGTGCTGTTGTCGGAAGAAGAGTTAAAACAGTATGTAGTGTATGTAATTTTGATCACGCATAGTTTTCGTAGGGGCAGAAATCTGCTGGGACCCCTTTTTTTGGTTGGTATTTTGTCTGAAACCTTGGATGTGATTACTTGAACACAATCCTCGTTGTCAGTTATGAAACGGAGAAGTATTTAACAACCATTTCTTCGCGATATTTTCCTTAGTTGGAGCCCCGCGACGGCGCAGGATCCGCTAAAGCAGTCAAATGTTACCATTTTTTAAAAGACAATCGATTCCATGACGCACTCTCAAAAATAGATCGTCTCAGTACATTACCAACGATCTCATCTGCCAGAGATTTCAATTATCGAGCAGCTGATAATGAGAGTAA